TAGATTTAGTTGTACAAAACATCAAATTTCCTCAAGATAATTCATCAAATGTTTATGGCAAGAACTAGCTACTAACTGTTTTAATGCTTTGCTGAAATAAGAATTTCATAGTCCAGTTTATCTTGATGCAAAAAAAAAAAAAAAACACCAGCATTGTAAAGAATGCCTTGCATGTTCTATTTTAATAGGGACAAGAATGCAGCAAACCTCAAAAGGGTTGACTGCAATACTATGAACATATATCTCATTCTTAAGTCACAGATTTGAAATCAGGAGCCATCAAGAAAGCTAAGAAGTAAACATTTTAATTCTACTGGGAGTATATGCACTATATTCTCCATGACTGTACCTTTAGAAATAATCTATCTCAAACATTCTTGATTAAAACGTATTTTTAAGAAATAGCTGACTTGATCTTTGCAATCTTTAAATACCATCATTATCTTAGGACAGAATGAGCAGAGCTCAACACTAAGTTGTAGGACTTAGTGCAACTAAAGTTAACCTTGCCGAGTTTTTTTTTGGATTGCCGAGGAGTTTTAACTCTTTATTTCCCTAAAGGGCACATTCCATTTAAGGAGTTTTCAGATAGATTAATTGTGCCAGAAATGCAGATCTGTACCTGTCAGCATTATGAACAGTCATAGCTATATGCTATCTAGTACCTTTACTTTCTCAGATTATAAAATTAGTACCTGACCTATGAGTTTGGCAAGATTTATTTACACTGATTATCACAATAAAAAAATGAAGGCTTTCTCAGGGCATATTAACAATTATAAAATGTAATGGAATTTACAAAATAATTGGGAGTACTTGTTATATGTTTAATATTTATTGAATATTAAAACTAAATTCTTGACCTTCAAAATCATAAGCACTCTGTGGCTAGCTAGCTCAGCAGTCATGCTTATGAAGTTAGAAACTGAATTCAAGTCCTGTCTAAATTCATTAATTTACCTGATCCATGAGAACTACTTTGCATCAGAAAGTCACCATGCCCCTCATTCCAACAGGTTAGTAAATGTGAATGGATCTGCAAGACTGGTTTCAGGTGGAAAAGAATCAAAGTTAATATTGTAACAGATACATGTGATGAATATAACATTAATAGATGTTTATAAATCTAGATGCTTAGTCAATATTTTCACATATGGACACCTAATAAGGCAAAGGATTGGAAACTTAGAAATGGTCATTAACCTCTCTCCAGATATCCCAACCCTGCCAAAAGCAGAGAATTAAAAATTAATTCTAACAGTTGGCTAATTATTCTTCCTTAGTACCAACATCAGATGTATCATATGATTTGCTTTAGTGTGCCTATAATATTTGAGACAATGTGGGCAAAGTACAGATTTACAATGAATAATGGCACAGTCTTGACAGCTTTAGAAGTCTGACTAGTTGCACTTAAAACTGTCTTTCCCCCAATTATTTTATTTTTACTTTATAATTTTACGATCAAGCACTACTATTGAGTTCTATAATATAGCTACGTCTAGTTTGCCTGTATATTCTGGGCACTGAGCCAAACGTTCGGTGCAGGTGCACACACACATGCGTGCGCGCGCGCACATACACACACACACACAAACATGCACACACACGGCATACAATAAATTATTCCTGAATAAATGAAAGAAAGGCTATTAACTAGGTTTTCTCATGCTGGACTTGAAACTTTACTTAAGAACATCAAGACAAAGGAAAGCCTTGTTAGGTAATTGCTATGCAAACAGATCATTAAGTAAAATGCCAGGATGTCCTACTAACACATATATATGGAATTTTAAAAGATGGTAACGATAACCCTATATGCAGGACAGAAAAAGAGACACAGGTGTATAGAATAGACTTTTGGACTCTGTGAGAGAAGGCGAGGGTAGGATGACCTGAGAGAATAGCATTGAAATATGTATATTATCAAGTGTGAAACAGATGGCCAGCCCAGGTTGGATCCAAGTGCTCAGGGCTGGTGCACTGGGAAGACCCAGAGGGATGGGATGGGGAGGGAGGTGGGAGGGGGGATCGGGATGGGGAACACATGTAAATCCATGGCTGATTCACGTCAATGTATGGCAAAAACCACTACAATATTGTAAAGTAATTAGCCTCCAACTAATAAAAATAATTTAAAAAAACAGAATCTATTTAATAATTTCTTTTTCTTAAAAGGAAGAGGGAAATAAACAAGAGGGTTTCTGTTTATTTTCGTTTAGATAATTTTACTATGATCACATGGTAACATCAATACTGGATGAAAACTCAGTTTTGAGCCATTATACAATTTTGAAAAAACTTCACTGAATGAAATATGAAAGGTCCTAGAAAACCTCATGACTTGCCCCTCTCCGTGAATTTGTTTCTTGTGTTTTTTCATACATGTTCACTTGGCATTTCTTTTATTTGTTGATTTGTTTTTAAGCTGATTGTCCAATTTCCCACTTGTAACCTTTCAAAGCTTCTAATCTTCCCTGCTTAGCAATTTCTAGTCTCCACTGACATTTGCTCATTACCAACCCCAAGACAGATGAAAGCCTCAGGAGTATTGACTATAGTTAAAAATGTATCAGCAAATGTTTCATCAAGTAACTTTTAATGGTCTTGTCTGTAGTGGATTTGTAATAATCTGAATCTTGACAATTATTTGCAACTTGTTAGTCATCTTCTAACTAGGACTTAAGAAACAAAACAAGCAAAAGATATTGGCACACCACCAAGAAACATTTTTCTCTCCTCTCCTTCATAACTGGTAACAATTAATGGCCTCTATAAATATCTAAACAAAAATAACTTGATACCTAAATAGCATTTTGGACAGTGTACTATATTAACTATGTATCATTTGTTAAGTGAAAAGTCAGGAGTTTTGGTTTGGACTGAACAGTTAATGAAGGATATTTACCCAAAATGAAATGGTAACAGATGATTTTTAGGTAGCAATTATATTTGGTTTCTCATATCCTAGTAAACTGTATCAACACTAACAACACAGATTGTATTACTCACTGAATGTCAGGTCATAAATCTTGGTCAAGGTTTCTATAGTTTATGAACCACTGTTCTAGTGCACAGCCATGGAAATGCTATTGAAAGAATATCAATGCAGAACTGCAAAACCATGGTTCATACTTTCAGATCTGAAATTTAGCTAGAGTTTGGCTAGTTCAATACCTGTATTTCATAAATGTCAAGAGCCAAATCCAGGAAGCTTGAGATCTGTTCAGGGTCAGAAAAATCCAGCAGATAAACTAACACCAGAACCTAGATTCAGCAGACTCCTATTTTAGGGCTCTCCTCATTTTTACCAGCTAGCAGTAGTATAGACAGGGTATTGCCACTACTTTCTGAATTTGTAACTCTTAAAGCCATTAATACCTGCATATATTCAAAGATACTGCAACCAAGTCAGTCACAGAGCCAGGCAAAAAGCCATCTTTTCCATAAGATGCTGGTCCTAAACCTTACTGTGAAAAGGCCATGTGAGTCAAACTGAAATGTGATCTTGACTCCTGAAAAACTGTTCTCTCCTTCATGTTGGTTATAGACAGAAAACTTTGGTATGAAAACAAAAATTCCAGGAGGCTTCATACCTTCATCCCTGAGCAACTGTGTTTAAGTCCAGGATGACTGAAGACACTAAATAAAAGTCTTTCAAAAGCTGTCTTCAATAAAAGAGATCATAAATTAAAAAACCCCATCATATACAGTGTATTTCTAACTTCTATATTTAGTAAGTGCCATTTATGTAATGTGCCTATGACAAACATTGTAAGGGATTTTCTTCTGCTTTGCCATTCCTCCAAACTGAAAGATGTCATAGGTTACGGGATATATCATTTAAGAATGTGAAAATTATTTTTATGAAATACTTTTATTTTTACTTCTAGGAAAAAGTAACTTAGATTATTTTACTCTATTTGGGGGGCTACGATCTTTCACTTTAGAGGCAAATTAGCAGCATATGGTAACACAGAATATACTGGAAATTAATAACGAAATTTATGATGGCAAAATGCTTTACAGAGATCTGCGGTGGACTCGGTCTCACCCAGATAAGAAGCATTTCCAAAACTGCTTTAAAACACATTTCAATGGCAAATTTTACAGTTTGCTATTAGTAGGCTGTTCACAAATATATAGTACTTTGTGTGAACTAAATACTACTTCGACAGAAATCGTCAAGAAATATCTTATATTAGGAGTAATGTGTGTTGGTATGTACATTATTTATTAAAGCTAAAACCACCTTAAAGATGGGCAAGAAAACCTTGCTTTGGAAGGTTACACCCTCAAATAGCCAAAGGAAATTCTGAAATCTGTGCCTCTGCCACTCTTCTTTCCTCGGTACAACCCCCTCCACCAGACCCTATGATTCTAAAATCCAACCGATCCTACGTTAAAGCTCAACATACACTCTAACCTCCCCAAATGTCTAATCTCGTCTCTCCTTAAATACACTACTCAAAGTTTCTACACTGAAGGATGCTGAATTTCCCCAAAGGGAAATTTCCTCCCTCTAGTTTCTTTGGCTGTTTCTCTCTCATCCCTGGTCCCTCTCGCCGTCAGTCCCCCTTCCCTTTCCCTGACCTTCTAGTTCCAGCGCACTTTTCTACCTTGCCCTCTCTCCTTTCACCAAATCACACCTCGGATTCCTAGAGAGAGCACACTAAAGCGCCCTGGCTGGGAGAGAAATTAAGTGTTTTTTTTTTTTTTCCCTTCCCTTCGAACTCCTGGCTTGTGAGTACCTGCAGTTCCTTTTCCTGGGGCCCCCCATCCTTTTCGGGCAGGAGGTAGGGAAGCCCCTCTCTGCTTCGTCCCTCTGGCACACTCGGGGCTACTACGGCGGGGCGGGGCGGGGCGAGCTTGGCCTTTACTGCGCCACAGCAGGTGGGGGGTGGGGCGGTGGCGAACCGCGCCCAATCCGCTCTGGGACAGGCAGAAGAGAGGCAGCAAAGGAGATGGGGCCTCCCCCACACCCCGGGACGGGAACTCACCTTCTCTCAGGCAAGGGCGGGTGTCTACTTTAAAACTACTGCCCCCCCTCCCCGCCGCCGCCATAGTGGAGCCGCCAAAGCCGCCGCCGCCGCCGCCGCCGCCGCCGCCACAGTCACCAGCAGGCGGGCAGGCAGGCGTGGAGGTGGCAGAGGAGGCAGGTACAATCGCTGCCGCCGCCCCCGCCGCCGCCGCGCAGGCGGTGGCGGTGGAGGAGGAGGAGGAGGAGGCGACAGAGACGGTAGCTTCCTGAGGGGAAGACTCCGCTGTCAGCTGTGTGACAGCGCTCGGCGCCGCCGCCAACGCAGCGAGGCGCTGACAATTGCTCTTGCGCCTCACTCCTGCTAAGCTCCTCTTGCCCCGCCTCCCGATGAGCCCCGCCCCTTAGCCCCTCTTTTCCTCGCTTCAGCTCAAGCCTCTTTCTCACTCCTTCTCTCCACCAATAGGAACGCTTCAGACCCGCGGGCCACCCCCTCCCTTCCCCCCACGGCTTGGCGTCACCAACCTCCCTTTGGAGGAGAAGCGAAGGCGGCCAAGGGCAAAGGGCAAAAAGCGCGGGATGTAAAAGCACGTGGTCTTAACACAGTGATGTCTCTTCCGTTGGAGGAGCTAATCTAAAACCAATTTAAGGAAAAGAATGTCTGGAAACCAATTTATTCCATCACCAAAATCGCTCTGAAAAATATCTTCTCCCACCTTTCTTATAGCCCTCAGTGAACAGAAAAATAGCAGAAGCCTTGGTCATAATGCATTTTCTTCATGAGCCCTAAAGTCCTGCTTAACTATGGATCTACCCATCTAAATTACAATTAAAAAACTGGAACTCCAGAACCCAACAATAAAACTAGAATATTACTTATTTGAATCTCCTCACCATCTTTTCCCCAAATTCCAAAGAAACAATTATCTTGATTCATATTAGTTGTTATTCCCATATTCTTTTTGCATATGTTCCAGTACATAGATATATGCCTAAACCATGTTTTTTAGTTTTGTTTTCAAATTTGACAAAAATTTAGGTATTTTTCTAGGTAGCATTTTGGGGCTTGTTACTTTCGCTAAAATTTTATTTCTGAAGTTCATCCATGTAGCTGTAGTTCATGCACTGTCAATGCTGTAAAATATCCATCCATTTCTCTGTTGATGGGTATGTGTCATGGTGCATCTGTGCAAAAGTTTCTCTTGGGTATACTCTCCTTTGCATTTTCACTTCCACAGCTGTATTTCAAATCCTCATTGTCTCTTGTCAGAACTATAAGATTTGCCTCACTGGTCTCCTTTCCTCTGATCTCAAGTCCTCCAATCTATTTCCATATTCCTGCCATTTATTACTGACCCACCTTTGCTTGTTAGACAGTCAAAGGACACAGTTTTGCACTGTTAGTCTCCCCCCCTCACTTCCTATTCAGATCCCCTTCCACTGTCCCTACCTCCCCACACTGCTTTTACTTTATTTAGCAGTATTAAAATCTTCTTACAGATTCCTATAAAAGCTGTTATTTCATGATGTAATACTATTGTATATATTGCATCTTCTTCCTGAAATGTCCCCTTCCCCTGTAATTAAGCATCTTCTTACTGAATCCCTATACACCCCTTGAAATCCAAATAATATATCACTTCTTCCAGGTAACATGTCCTGTTCCTACTTAGCCTTAATTCCACCCTCTTCTGTGCTATACCTATATCATATGCGTATTTTGATTGTGTGCCTCTCTTCTCCATAGACTGGGACCATTTTGAAACAAAAGACAGTTTATTTCTGATTTCTCATGATCCAGCACAGTGAAGTCCTAGGCAAAGGTCAAAAATCAATGGTCCCTAAGCCTAGGCCCCTAAGTCCTTAGGTCTGGCCCACAGATGTGTTCTAACTGCACAGTTATTTATTTACTTCCCTGTCAACATTTGAAACATTTGGCATTTCATACAAAAGAAAAAAAATATCTTAAAAACATTTGAAGATTTGGCAGTATTTGTTGTGCATTCCTAACTGCCAACAACTGGCGGGAGCTGAATAGTAAACTCAGAGACTTGGAGTGCTAGGCTCTTAAGGACATTTTTATGTTGTTTTTGTAGTTCAAATATTTACCCAAGATTACCTGAGTCATTGGGTTTCTCTAATGTTCTTTCTTGTCCCTCTCTAAGTTAATGCAGCATTTACGCATTGAAGAAATTACTGGAAAGATCATACACAAGAAATATTCCACTGAAACAGCCAGTAGGACAAGACATGCATAAAAGAGTGTAGCTTATCCCTTCCAGTATGGGAGGGAGAATCCCTCAAAAACATTGTTTCTCAAAATATGAATCACAGTTCATATATAACTGTATAAGAACTATTCAATCAGAATCTGGGGAGTGTGCATCTCTCAGGATTCAGTCAGCAAAAGAGAAATTGCATTAGGTATTTCAAACAGAAATTATTTAACATAAGAGAATCAGATATTTTAAAAAATCAGGAAGGTTAGAGGAATAAAACTCAGAGGACTTTTCCAGATATTGTCAACTAGTATTGAACAGTCTTTCCATCCTCTTCTGTGTTCTCCTCTGTGTTGCAGAAGCTGGAAGCCTATGAATTACATTTCCCAGACTTTTTGGTCAGCAGGATTCTGAATATGGTTTAGGATTCTGAATATGGTTTAGGTCTCACCAGTGGTACACATTTTAGAATAGAATGGAGGCCATTCTTTACATTCACTCAAATAGATGTAAAACATGAGTTTTTGTAGTGGTCTCAAAATTCTTCTGCACAGCTTATACCCAACTTATACAGGCTTTGGAGGACCTGTAAGGTTAGCAGTGGTTTACTTGAACCTGCTGACCTCTGTGTGATAGTTACAATTTCCTGTCTTTGGACTATGCTGCTGCTGCTGCTAAGACGCTTGAGTCATGTCCAACTCTGTGCGACCCCATAGACAGAAGCTCATCAGGCTCCTCTGTCCCTGGGATTCTCCAGGCAAGAACACTGGAGTGGGTTGCCATTTCCTTCTCCAATGCAACAGTGAAGTGAAAGGGAAGTCGCTCAGTCATGTCCAACTCTTAGCGACCCCATGGACTGCAGCTTACCAGGTTCCTCCATCCATGGGATTTTCCAGGCAAGAGTACTGGATTGGGCTATAGCAGCCAACAAATACTAATTAAGATACAGTTACTTCTTCCTTCTTAGGCTCAATGGAAACATTTGTGTTTTGTCTTCTGTTCAATCAAACAGTAAAAAGAGGGGAGAAGATATTGCATGACATTAAAGAAAGTAGTTAATTTTCTCCCCCTTCCCCAACTCCATTTGGTGACATGCCAAATACCACGGAATCTGAGTAATACACTATGACAATAAGCACCTACTTTCCTGTCTTCCTCTACACTTCTCATTGTTCTCTATGACTGTAATGCTATTAAGTGAATGGCAAAATAGTTTCTTTCACAAGAGAGAGGAGGTGGAATGTAGCAAAGAGTAACAGTTAATGAAAGCCTCCTATGGGCTAGACTTTTCCATAATTTCCCAGTCATCTCACAACAGTGATGTTGAATTGGGTTCATTAACCTCATTTAAAGAATGCACTCAGATTCATGGATATAACTAACTTTTCCCTGGTTTTCAATTTAGTGATTGAAATGGTCTGCTTATATCACTGGACCACAGGGAGGGGGACAGTATTGGCTGAAATGAGTTTTAACTACTGACTCCTAAAATCACAGAAAGAAAATGGGGGTGGGGGTGTGTGGAAGTGGGTCTAAGATGTAGGTCAGAGTTGCCAAAAAGAAATAAAGGAGTGTATCTTTGAATATTTGAGAAATCAATAAGGAAAAGCATACCAATAGTTATTTCACTATTTCTATGGTGAAACGTAATATGCTTGGAATAATATGGGGAAATTAAAAATTGCATTGCCAAACACAATACACTTAAAGATATCAGAAAATGGAAGAAATAATTAGAATATAATTTAGTGGCATATAACTAATGTGATTTACATAAAAATGAACATGACTAAGTAGAACAGTAATATTCAAATTTATCAACAAATAAATCAAAGGTGAAAAACAATTGCAGTCAAATATCCAAAGTTGCTCAGTACCAGCAAATTAAAGAAAAGCAAATAGACACATTGATATTTACAAATAAGAAAGACATAAAATAGCATGTATAATGTAACAAAGCTTTAAATAAAAATATATGCATATGAATATACAGATATAACAATTGAATTATGTACAAACACACATTCAATGTATCTGCAGAATACTAGGAGTATTTTAGATTTCTCCATTGTTGAAGCAGTAATATAGATAAAATTATGACAGCACAAGATGTATCTCATTAAGAACTGATGTTATATGACCCAGTCAAAAAATGGGCCAAAGAACTAAACAGACATTTCTCCAAAGAAGACATACAGATGGCTAACAAACACATGAAAATATGCTCAACATCACTCATTATCAGAGAAATGCAAATCAAAGCCACAATGTGGTACCATCTCATGCTGGTCAGAATGGCTGCTATCAAAAAGTCTACCAACAATAAATGCTGGAGAGGGTGTGGAGAAAAGGGAACCCTCTTACACTGTTGGTGGGAATGCAAACTAGTACAGACACTATCTTCACAGTGTGGAGATTCCTTAAAAAATTGCCATACGACCCAGCAATCCCACTGCTGGGCATACACACTGAGAAAACCAGAATTCAGAGAGACCTGTATACCCCAATGTTCATTGCAGCACTGTTTACAGTAGCTAGGACATGGAAGCAACCTAGATGTCCATCAGCAGATGAATGGATAAGAAAGCTGTGGTACATATACACAATGGAATATTACTCAGCCATTAAAAGGAATGCATTTGAATCAGTTCTAATGAGGTGGATGAAACTGGAGCCTATTATACAGAGTGAAGTAAGTCAGAAAGAAAAATACCAACACAGTATATTAACGCATATATATGGAATTTAGAAAGATGGTAATGATGGCCCTATATGTGAGACAGCAAAAGAGACACAGATATAAAGAACAGACTTTTGGACTCTGTGGGAGAAGGCGAGGGTGGGATGATTTGAGAGAATAGCATTGA